CCAATCAACGCGGGAACACTATGCGATCATTCTTAGCCACAATTTTACATGATGGAAGTTGGAAGGAGCACGACAATTATCAAGTGTTCAGTACCGGGTACGTTTCAATTCCATTTGATTCCACCCTACAACAACTCAGTGAATATATCTCTAGAGATCTTCATTTTCCAGAAGGAAAAAAGATTACACGACTTTCACTGTTCAGAAATGGTGGTGGTAAATCGATAATTGTGAGGCTGTTAGTAGATAGGACGCGGTGTAGGCCATATCCTTGTTGTCGGATGTCATGTGTAGTGACTACTGCATAGTCGTAGATACTGACCCTGTACATAATACCATATACGGGGTTAGTGAAAGTTCAGACGCCGCCCAAAATACAATTTACCTTAGGGGGAAGAAATTTACTTTTATGGACCCTATTATTCTTGATTGTACTCCCTCTGATTTCGTGTTGGAAGGAGTTAGTGTTTGGGAGTGAGTTTTTGGAAGGGATTTTGTTGCAATTATGGAGTGAGGTAAGGAAATTTGGGGAGGGGGTATTAATTTTATGCGAAGAGTTTTGGTGAGGGTTTATASTGGTACATCGTTTATTGCAATTTTGGGATATTTGCGATGGTATCTTGAGGGGGTATTAATTTTCGAAGAAAGAGTTAGGACTCACGGAAGAAGGAAATTTTCGAAGAAGRAGTGAGGTGGATTTTTCCAGTGAAGACAGTGAGGTAGTATCCCTTAAAAGTCGTTTGAGATATTCAAGAGATTTTGACTAGGTTKCCTTCTTCCATAATGGATTCTGACACGGTACTAATTCTCATCCTCTGTAATGCAACTACTACCTCCATACTTTTAAAAATAGCACTTTCGAATTTCAATATTATTTTTTATTCATGTTCCACTTTTCTAAATTGATTTTACGTTTTTTTAATCCATTTTACATTTTGATTTAATCTTAATATTTTTTGATTTCAAAGTATGCATTCAACAGATTTTATCTTATAAATTTTGAAATTTCTAAATCTATATGTTATTTAAAATTTTTGAACTTTATAATTTCCATTCACTATCTTGTTTCCTAAAATTTAGGTGCACTAAAGGTTTGTTGAAGGGTAGTTTCGTCGCAAATTTATAGAGGTAATGACATGACAAATTTACCTATTTTGATGGAAGGGTAAATTTGTCCACATAAAATCTCGTAGTTCAGCTCTAACTGCCCTTTAGCTATTTTCCTGGTATCTGATTCTTTTGGCCATTTTTCAAATTCAACTATTTAATTTAGCTATTTCTCTAGTTTTTTATTTTTTTATTTTTTTATTTTTTGTTGAAAAAGAAGCAGTTGTATTAAAGCCACATGGGCAGAATTTGAAGGGGTGTCCCCTTGAATAATATGTAGAGGCTAAAGAGGAAAGTTGTTTTGCCAACACCACGTGTCTATTGGAGATGAAATTCTCCATTTTACAAGACTGTGGGCTAGGAAATTACATTGACGACGGGGATAATGAAAAGAGATGAAATCAAAATTTGGAGCTAGGGCTTGTATCTCCATCAACCAGCTACCCTCTTCCCCCATGGTTCGTAAATCTCCTTGGATTAAACGGATTGCCATCAAAGAATCCGACTCCACTTCAATGCATGGGTAAGCCGATGAAGCAGCAAATCTCAAGCCTTCCAATATTYCACGAATTTCAACAAATAGAGGCGACAACTTGTAAGGGAGACACGTTGATTTTGCGGCAACGAGAGTACCGGAAGAATCTCGGATGATACATCCGAGACTTATTGAATCACTCCTACAAGCAGCATTTGTATTTAATTTTAGAGATAGATTTGATGGAGGACTCCATKGATGAGCAATCGAAGAAGACGTCTGATTTCGAGGTACGAGATTATGCATTTGAGCCTGCMAAAAATTGTGCAGATAAGCATTTATCCATTCACTCTTAATTTCAGGAGGGGATGTTTGATTTCCACGAGTTGCAGAGTTTCGGTCGTTCCATATAGCCAAACAGGTAATTGCTACAACATTCATTTCATTTGGATTAAGATGATCTGATATGTACCTCCAAAAATCCAAGAACTTGTGATTGAAGTCTGCAGGAAATCGAGATAGAGAKGGGTAGAGAATCTGCCAAATTTTTTGCACTCGCTTACAATGGTAGAAAGAATGGGTGGTAGTTTTGCTTGAAGCTCTGCAGAGTTTGCAAACAGGTAAAGCATCGATTCCTCTGTTGTGCAAATTGTAGGCTGTTGGAATGTGTTCATGAGYAGCTCTCCATATAAAAATCTTTATTTTTGAAGGAACAGAGAGGTTCCAAATAGATTTCCAATGTGCACCTTGAAAATCATGACTAGTTGATGCTACATTACATTTTATATGCATGTAAAGCTTGTATCCACTTTTTACATTRTAGGAACCTCTTTTATCATAATGTCAAAGCCACAAATCCTACAAATTACATAAGCTTATAGGCATAGCTAGAATCAATTCTTTGTCTTCATCATAAAAGAAGTTTGAAACCAATTTTTTATCCCATTCTCCACTTTGGGTAATAAAATTGGCCACTTTAGTATCTTCAGCCTCATGATTAACCATTATACTTGTGAAAGAATTTGGTCTTGGGAATCCAAGGATCCGAGAAAACCTTAACGTTAGAACCATTCTCAACTCAAGCCTCAGACCTTCAGCAAGAAGATCTCGACCCCATATGAATCCTTTCCACAAAAAGAAGAAGATGTGGAAGTTGTAGCCTGTAGTGGAGATGAGTCATTGAAATATTTTGATTTCAAGACTTTTGCAACTAAAAGATTTGGTCATTGGAGAACTCGCCAAACTTGTTTGACCACTAAAAGTTGGTTAAAACCTTCTAGATCCCAAAAATTTAGGCCTCCATGCTCTTTAGGAAAACACATTTTATCCCATTTCATCCAGTGAAGTTTCTTAGTATCATCTGTTGTGCCCCACAAAAAACATGCAAAACATMTGAGCAATCTCATCACAAAAGCCTTTAGGGAGCTTAAAAACACTCATACCATATGAGGGAATAACATGGCCAATGCTTTTAATTAGAATCTCTTTGCCTCCAATAGAGAAGAAAGAGCGTTTCCAGCCTTGCATTACTTTCCAAATTTAATCCTTCAGATAAGACCAATCCAAACCTTTCCTTCGAGTAAAATAAGATGGCAACCCAAGATAATKCCCAAACTGCTTCACCAAATTGACATTAAGAATAGTTTGAAGATAATGTTGCCTATCCGGGTGGACATTTGGTGAAAAGATAAGGGCAAAATTTGAGAAATTTATGCATTTCCCCGTTTCTTTACCATATGTATTCAACAGATTCYTGAGTGTTAAGCATTCAGACTCCAAAGATCTCAGAAATATAAGACTATCATAAGCAAATAATAAATGAGAAATAGATGGGCCACCTTCCTTAAATTTTATACCTGTGAGGTGACCTTCATTGGTAGCATAGTTRATCAGTGAATAGGTAAGGTAAAAGAGGATCACCTTGTCGAATACCACGAAAGGGGAAGAAGGAACCTCTTGGAGAGCCATTTAAAAGGATAGAAAACCTTACTGYAGATATGCAACGAATGAGGGTACTTATCCACCTATCATCAAAAYCCATCTTCCTCATTATACATTCAATMTAAACTCATTCTACACGATTGAAAGCTTTACTCAAATCAAGCTTTAGAGCAGCCATTCCAGTGAGTCCCGATTTGCAATTGCTAGCTAATAGTGTGAAGGCATTCGTGGCCTATAATAATATTATCCGTGATAGCCCGAAGAGGAACAAAAGTAGACTGTGCTTCAGATATTACTAGACCAATCACATTCTTAAGCCGATTAGCAATTGATTTAGATATAATCTTATAGGAGTCATTCCACAGACTAATAGGGCGAAAATCAGAGACCAACCTCGGTTGCTTGACCTTTGGAATGAGAGCAATATAGGTAGAATTCTAGTATTGGATATCATCTCCATTATTCAGAGTGTTAAGACAAGCTTCCATGGTTTTTGGCCCTACCACATGCTAATAAGACTGATAAAAAGTGTTGGAAATCYGTCTAGACTAGGACCGTYGTTGGAAACATYTGTTTTACAACCTTCTCTAATTCCTCCTGATTATAGGGTGACAATAGCTGCGCATTTAATTCCRGCGGAATCCATGTGGGAATATGGTTTGTGATTTCAGCAATATCCAAAGGAGAAGGAGATGAGGAGGTGAATATAGCTTGGAAATAGGCAACGAAAGTATTCTCAATCTCATCCAATTCTTCTGTCCAGTCACCATTTTTGTTCTCAATGCCAACTATGGTGTTACAAGATTTTTTCATGGTGGCTYTTTTGTGGAACCATTTAGAATTAGAATCGCCCCATTTAAGTCAATCTTCCCGAGAGCGCTGCTTCCAATAAATCTCTTCCGKCTCCAAAAGGCCAGCTAAATCATTTTCAAGAGCGTGGATAATAGTGAAATCAAGCGGTAGAGGCTGATTACAGGCCTCCATGATGTTAACCTTTTGGATTTTAATTTGTTTGAAGAGTCCTCGAATATTTGATTGACCCCAATTTCAAAGAGTGGAGGAAGAGGCATGGAGTAAGAGTAATTATGTGCTGAAGTGGACCAATTCCCTTGCTTAGAAAGAATCTGGATTACGAACCCCATATTCTTCAAATCTAAAAAGTTTTATAGACCTTTGAATTCGATGAATGGGTTTGGCATAGAGGGTCAATGCAACTGCACRGTGATCCGATTTCGACCAAGGGAGATGAGTAATAGAGGCATCCGAAAAAGCAGAAATGAAAGAGTTGTTGCACAAATAGCGGTCTAAGCATTTCCAAAGCTGGTCCCTTACAAATCTCTTGTTGCACCATGTAAACCTTCCTCCTTTGTAATTCATATGTGTGACTAAGCAAAAATCCATTGTGTTCCTGAAAGCCGTAATTTGTGAAGTGTCATAAGAGGACGTATAGGAGGCCTCATARTTCGAGAGAATAGCATTCATATCTCTTYCTATAAGCCACAAGGAGTCATCAAAATTGTAAATATGTCTTACGAGCTCTCAAGTCATATGGCGTTTATGCGCTTCGGGGTGACCATAAAAACCTGTAAATCGCCATGATTTGTTATCAAATAAAATGGAGCAATCAATATGATTATGAGAGTAGGRYYGAATAGAAACTTCACTATTRTCCTTCGAAAGAAGACAAAGACACMCACTTAGACCAACACTGCAAACTGTAAAACAACCATACAAAGAGAGTGTATTTTTTAATTTATTGGTTAAATGCTCATTACATTTGGTTTCCATAAGAAAAATAATAGAGGGATTTTCATGATATAAAAAAGTCACTTAGGACACGGAATATTCGAGGGTCCCCCAACCCTCAAACATTCCAACATAAGATCTTCATGGCTATCGGCGAGGTTGCGGGCTTCCGCTAGCAAAATCATTGTAGCTTGAGACTTCTGTTTCTTGGAGGAAGGGAGAGATTGAGGTGATGCCTTCCGTTTTGGGCTTTTGATGACTAAATTCTGAGCTTGTTCAACTTTAGTAGATGGGCTAGATCTCGCTTTTTGCTTCCATTTCCTTAAATTGCCCTAAAAACTTGGGCTTAAATCCATCTTAGTGGTCGACATAATGGGCGAAGATGGCATTAAAGTTGAGGTATGAATTATRGGAGGAGCCATATTTGAAATCAGCCCCAATTTAATACCTTACTGTCTATCAGTTATGATTTCCTGATTTTTAGTAGATTGGTCTGACTTTTTCAATGCAGTCATAAATGCCTCAGGGAAGTAAATATTCCCGACTTGGTAACAGCCCCAACTTTTGGAATGTMTGTTACAGTTGGCATCGACGGAGGAGCTGTCGGCGCTTCCGCCGGAGATGCATTTTCAGGAAGGCTGCCAACACCATTAGGTACTGCCAAGGCAGAAAACGAGCTACTTCCAKAACTATCCTTRRGGACCACCATATTCTGCTTCATTGGAGCTATAAGATTTTTAAAGTATCCTTGAAACCRAAGCCATGGACTATATTGGTGCTTTGTCTGAAGAGTATTGTGCGCTGTATCAGAAAAATAGTCATTGCAATMTTTAAGAATATGATCAATCTTACCACAGTGATAACAGAAATTAGGGAGGCGTTCATATTGGACCATCTAGGAGCATCTAGATTTAATTTTATCCCTCGTCTCAAATGCTTAGAGATGTCCAACAACACGAACTCRCAAAATAGAGCCTCCTAAAGAACGCAAATCATCACAGTCAGTCTSTTCAAATCCACCCAGTGCATTGCCAAGATGGATTGTCRTTSATTTTGTCGCACAGCCTAGAGGCAGATAAAAAAACGAATCCAGATGGGCAGCCTTGTGAAATCCAGCTCCGATGGACGGATTAAAGCTGGTGGTTTAATAAGTACCACCACTGCSTTATCAAAGGTCCATGGACCCATTTTGTAAACCTTATTTYTGTCCACCACACGAACAAATATGAAAAGAAACAGGTTKTTGCCTATAGTTTCCACATCAAAAGTATTATCATCCAGTTTCCAAGCATTTCTCATTGTATTTTTCATAGCAATACAGGCGATGGAACGTTTGAGGAAGAGTTTACCTACCAGAAGAAGCTCAACTTTGGATCCAGATTCAACATAGGYTGAGGTATCCACATCAATAGCAATCTCCTCCTCCTCTAATGTAARTTTGAGATTTTTCCACTCCTCTAGTAAGTCTACTATTGAYATTGTAGAGGAAGGAAAAGATGGGGAACATATCAGAACCTTGGGAATTCTGGTGGAACTGTCAAATACAGAGATAACTCTCATGCTAGAGAGAAGAGAGGAGRATCGATTTTTGTTTGTGCTGGACTTTTTAAGTGAGTGGTTGCGGTTTCACTTTGGAATAGTCAATGAGATTAGCTATTCCTCTAGTTGCCCCTAATTAAATTTGAATAAGTCTGAATCTACTAAAGAKAATTGAGTCTATGACCCAAATGCGGTCCAAGTCATGGGTTGGACTCAAACCTAGACCYATTAAAGCTTTTTAGGAAGAATTGGTCCCAGAGCCAAAGTCTAAGGGTTGGGTCTCACATCACTCAAACCTAGACCAACTTAAGCTCGTGAAAAACTCCATAAATAGAGAAGCTACGTTTATTTCAAGGATTAAGAATACAGAGAATTTAGAGAATGCTCCCAGCAAAATGAAGACTCTGAAAATAGACTCTAAAGACTTTGAAAACTAGAAAACGTGCAAACTTTGAAAATCTCTTTAACACTTGGAAGACAAGTTGAAAACATTTGAAGGGTACAAGACTCAAAGACATCGATCGATATAATCCAAATAGGTCAATAAGTTTGGAAGACT